TCCTCTGCAGGACCCTGCACAAGTCTTACGCTAAGCACAGGTAATCCCACAAATACACTCAGATTTTGCTATTACAACCTCAATTATTGTTTTAGTTGACTCTGAAATCTGTATTTGAAGAACTTTATTATTCTTTCACATCAAAATCACTGTATTTCCATATCTAGCATACGCATATTCAAATACTAAGCTCTTGCAGCTTTGCACTGACTCTGCACTGCAGTTTGCTGTTAGACGAGCCCCCAGTGCCACAGTGAATCCTGCAACAGGTCCCTTCAGCAGACAGCACTGGATTTTCTAGGAGACGGACAGCGTGTACTTGTTAGACAGGAATGATGGCTCCTCGTTAAAAGCATCCTTCCTGGTAGCAGCTCCTGTCGTTCTGCGGACACCAGAACTCCCCGTCACTACGGGACTGAGCAAGGCACCCTGTCATTATTTGGTTCGAGTGTGAGAAAAGCAAACAGACAGCCAACTCCCATTCCTTCGGCATCTGAGCCGTGTGCGTACAGGAAGGCAAGCTGTCTGCCAGCCGGGTCAAAAGGCACATAGTGTCACACCTCCACCTGCTCAGGCGTTTCAGGAATCTGTCCTAGTGAGCCGTGACACCAGGGCTACCCCAGCGTACCTTGGTTTTTTGCATCAGCTGATCACCCCAGGCCTCCGTCACGTGCTTCCTGTGCAGCTCCGACTCCACCTGTAGACAACAGATGCCATTAGTGCCAGAGGCTCTCTTGTCCCGGGATCTACTGGACACTCTGGAGTACCATCTGGCCCAGCCCTGAACTCCAAGCAGGACCTGCCTCTGCCGAGTTGGGCTCGTTTGGGTGTCCTGTGCCCACCAGGTCCCAAGCTGAGGGTCACTGTCACACACCAGTTCTGGGAAACACTACAGTGACAGTGAAACCAGAGCTGTGGCAGCTAGAGCAGCAGGTCAGAGGAATAAAAAATAAGGAAGCACCAAGGACACGACAGGTACAGCTTTAAAAAGCACCTGAGGTATTTAAAATCACAGGCACTGAAAACCTGCTGAGTCAGAACAGATTTCTGACTGTTCTTGAAAAATACCCGCTTTGAGGGGACTTCTTACACTGTTAGGTGATTTTCTTCTTTGCCTTTTGCTTATCAGAACTCAGGACAATTGCTGCGATTCAAGACGAGTGACAACAGTAGATACATGATGACTTTCAAGTTTAATAAATGCAAGGCAGCGGTGACTGAAAAGAAAGTAACATCACCTCCCGGAGCTCAGCGTTGTTTTTTTTCCAGTGCTCATACAGCAGCTGCTCAGCAACCTGGAAACACGAGAGCTGGATTATGTCAGCATACAGAAGAATTTGAGATATCAAACCCTCCCAAGGCAGCCATTACTTAAGCAAACCAAGTGCTGAAAAACACAACGTGGGGCACTTCTGTCCATAGAATCATAGAGCAGTTTGGGTTGGGAGGGTCCTTTAAAGGCCATCTAGTCCAACCCCCCTGCCATGAGCAGGGACATCTGCAACTAGATCAGGTTGCTCAGAACCCCGTCCAACCTGACGCAGAACGTTTCCAGGGATGGGGCAGCCACCACGTCCCTGGGCAACCAGGTCCAGTGTTAGACCACCCTCATGTTAAAAATTTTCCACTTTATATCTAGTCTAAATCTACCCTCTTTTAGTTTAAAACCATTACTTCTTGTCCTATGGCAACAGGCCCCACTAAAATTTGTCCCCACCTTTCCTGTAGCCCCCTTCAAGCACTGAAAGGCTGCTATAAGGTCTCCCCGGAGCCTTCTCTTCTCCAAGCTGACCCCCCCCAACTCCCCCAGCCTGTCCACCCAGCAGAGGGGCTCCAGCCCTCCCAGCATCTCCGGGGCCTCCTCTGGCCCCGCTCCAACAGGTCCATGCCCTTCTGATGTTGGTGGCCCCAAAGCTGGACGCAGTACTCCAGGTGGGGTCCCACCAGAGTGGAGCAGAGGGGCAGAATCCCTTCCCTCGCCCTGCTGGCCACACTGCTGGGGATGCAGCCCGGGATGTGGGTGGCTTTGTGGGCTGCCAGCACACATTGCTGGCTCATGGCCAGCTTTTCATCCACCAGTACCCCCAAGTCCTTCTTGGCAGGACCGCTCTCAATCCCTTCATCCCCCCGCCTATACAGGGGTTGCCCTGACCCGGGTGCAGGACCCTGCACTTGGCCTTGTTGAACCTCATGAGGTTCACACGGGCCCATTTCTCAAGCCTGCCCAGGTCCCTCCAGCGCGTTGACCACATCACTCAGCTTGGTGTCACCCATAAACTTGTGGAGTGTGCACTCGATCCCACCGTCTGTGTCAATGAAGATATTAAATATCCATCCCCAGCAAGTGCAATTCGCACATCTAAAGCAAGAGAGCGGCCTTGCCTCTCCTGTCGCTGGGAGGGCTGTAGGATCGCTCCTTCATCACCAGAGATGAGGAATGAACCCCGGGCTGCAAGGCCTCTCCTGGCTCAGACCACGGGAAGCCCTGATGCTGCCCTCACCTTCCTCCTCCGCTCCTCCCTGCTGGCTCGTAGCTCCTCGCTCCGCTGCCGCATCCCGGTGAGCTCCGACCCGCCGCCCCGCCGCAGGTCCCGCAGCTCCGCCACCAGTGCCTCCTGCTCCTC